GCTTGGGAAATTTTGAAAAGTGAGATTATAAAAGCCCAGTCTAGCACAATACCAATGAAGAAGAAAAATAACAGCTCTCAAAAGAAACCAGCATGACTCCATAAAGAACTCTGACAAATTGAATGGCAAAAAGGACAAGTATAAAAAGTGGAAAGAGGGTAGGGTTGAAATTTTAAAAATTCCCCTACCGGTTCTGTGGGCATGGCTTCTTGGAGGGAGGTCATGTGACTGGGTGGGCATGGCCAACTCGACATCACTCACATCGAGGGGCTCCTCACTGGCCCCTCCCCTCCCAGCCATTCTTTGTCATGATTGGCAGGAAAATGAGGAGGGGAATATTCCTGCCTACCATCCTTCCCTTAGTCTGTGCTGAGATTGAGGAATGGATGACAGGCAGGAAATCCGCTTCCCCATTTTCCTGCCTTTCACAAAAACGGCTCTATTCCAGCTGCTCCCCCCCCCATCCCTCTCCCTCCTGGGGACTACCTTAAAAGGGACAGGCTGCAGCAGCTCCATTCTGAATGGAGAGAGAAAAGTTAGCATTCTCTCTGCTGCATTTAACATTGAATTCTGTGGAACATCAAGCAGCCGGAAGAGGTGAGCAGTGACCAGCTGGGTGTGGGTGGGGCCAAGGAGAGCTAATTACTACCGGTTCGGCGAACTGATGTTCATAATCCCTAGCAGTTCGCCCGAAGTGGTCCGAACTGGTAGGATTTCACCCCTGAAAGAGGGGCATATAACTAAGGCAGAATATCAGCAAATAGCCTGAGCCTGCAAAGATGAAATGAGGAAAGCTAAGGCTCACAACAAACAAAGGCTTGTGACAAAAGTAAAAAATAACAAACAAACAAAAAAAAGCTTCTTCCAATACAGATGAAACTCGAAAAATTAGAATATCGTGCAAAAGTTCATTTATTTCAGTAATACAACTTAAAAGGTGAAACTAATATATGAGATAGACTCATTACATGCAAAGCGAGATAGTTCAAGCCTTGATTTGTCATACTTTTGATGATTATGCCTTACAGCTCATGAAAACCCCAAATTCACAATCTCAAAAAATTAGAATATTGTGAAAAGGTTCAATATTCTAGGCTCAAAGTGTCCCACTCTGATCAGCTAATTAAGCCATAACACCTGCAAAGGGTTCCTGAGCCTTTAAATGGTCTCTCAGTCTGGTTCAGTAGGAATCACAATCATGGGAAAGACCGCTGACCTGACAGTTGTGCAGAAAACCATCATTGACACCCTCCATAAGGAGGGAAAACCTCAAAAGGTAATTGCAAAAGAAGTTGGATGTTCCCAAAGTGCTGTATCAAAGCACATTAATAGAAAGTTATGTGGAAGGGAAAAGTGTGGAAGAAAAAGGTGCACAAGCAGCAGGGATGACCGCAGCCTGAAGAGGATTGTTAGGAAAAGGCCATTCAAAAATGTTGGGGACTTTCACAAGGAGTGGACTGAGGCTGGAGTCAGTGCATCAAGAGCCACCACACACTGACGGATCCTGGACACGGGCTTCAAATGTCGTATTCCTCTTGTCAAGCCACTCCTGAACAACAAACAATGTCAGAAGCGTCTTACCTGGGCTAAAGAAAAAGAGAACTGGTCTGTTGCTCAGTGGTCCAAAGTCTTCTTTTCTGATGAGAGCAACTTTTGCATCTCATTTGGAAACCAAGGACCCAGAATCTGGAGGAAGAATGGAGAGGCACACACTGCAAGATGCTTGAAGTCCAGTGTGAAGTTTCCACAGTCTGTGTTGATTTGGGGAACCATGTCATCTGCTGGTGATGGTCCACTGTGCTTCATTAAGTCCAGGGTCAACGCAGCCATCTACCAGGAGATTTTGGAGTACTTCATGCTTCCTTTCACAGATGAGCTTTATGGGGATGCTGACTTCATTTTCCAGCAGGACTTGGCACCTGCCCACACTGCCAAAAGTACCAAAACCTGGTTCAATGACCATGGGATTACTGTGCTTGATTGGCCAGCAAACTCGCCTGACCTGAACCCCATAGAAAATCTATGGGGCATTGCCAAGAGAAAGATGAGAGACATGAGACCGAACAATACAGAAGAGCTGAAGGCTGCTATTGAAGCACCCTGGTCTTTCATAACACCTCAGCAGTGCCACAGGCTGATAGCATCCATGCCATGCCGTATTGAGGCAGTAAATGATGCAAAAGGGGCCCAAACCAAGTACTGAGTACATATGCATGCTTATACTTTTCAGAGGTCCAATATTGTTCTATGTACAATCCTTGTTTTATTGATTTCATGTAATATTCTAATTTTCTGAGATTGTGAATTTGGGGTTTTCATGAGCTGTAAGCCATAATCATCAAAATTATGACAAATCAAGGCTTGAACTATCTTGCTTTGCATGTAATGAGTCTATCTCATATATTAGTTTCACCTTTTAAGTTGCATTACTGAAATAAATGAACTTTTGCACAATATTCTAATTTTTCGAGTTTCACTTGTATGTTAAAAACAAGAAAAAAGTCAAGGAAACAATTGGTCCATTGCTGGGAGAAAGTGGCAAGAAAGTGATAAAAAGGAGAAAGCAGAACTACTTAACTAGTTTTTTGCATCTGTCTTTACACAAAGGGAAAAAACAGTCCAAACAGGGAAGAAAATGGTAAGTGAACACCTGTCTACCCTAGACGAGTTCAAATCACCAGGACTAGATGGATTACACAGCAAGTTTCTTCAGAAACTGGCAGACGAGATCTCAGAACCACTGAATTATATCTTTCAAAGATCCTGGAGCACCAAGGAACTGCCAGAGGACTGAAAAAGAGCTGACTGAAAAAAGATGTAGTTCCCATCTTCAAAAAAGGGAAAAAAATAGATCCAGGAAACTGCAGACCTATCAACCTGACCTCAGTACCAGAGAAGATTCTGGAAAAGATAATCAAGCAACGAATCAGTGAACACCTAGAAGAAAACAAAGTAATAACCAAAAGCCAACATAGCTTTTGGTTATTAAAACAGATCATGCCAGACTAGAAAGAATGCCAGACTGCATTCTTTGACAAAGTGACAAAATTAGTGGACCTGAGGAATACTGTCAATATAATTTACTTGGACTTCAGTAAGGTATTTTATAAAGTTGACCATAACCTACTACTAGATAAAGTAGGTTAGACAGCATCACCACCAGATGGATTCGTAACTGGCTGACCAACCGCACTCAACATGTAGGGAGGTATGCAGTGGGGTACTCCAGGGCTTGTTTTAGGCCCAGTGCTCTTCAACATCTTTATCAATGACTTGGACGAGGGGATAGATGGGGAACTTATCAAATTTGCAGATGACACCAAACTGGCAAGAATAGCCAACACTCCAGAAGATAGGCTTAAGATACAGAAGGATCTTGACAGACTTGAACATTGGGCGCTATCTAACAAAATGAAATTAAATGGTGAAAAAAGTAAGGTTCTACATTTAGGCAAGAAAAACGAAATGCACAGGCACAGTATATTGATACCTTGCCCAATAGTAGTAACTGTGAGAGGGATCTTGGAGTCCTAGTGGACAACCATTTAAATATGATCCAGCAGTGTGCAGCAGCTGCCAAAAAAGCCAAAACAGTTTTAGGCTACATAAACACGAGGGATAGAATCAAGATCACGTGAAGTGTTAATACCACTTTATAATGCCTTCGTAAGGCCATATTTGGAATACTGCATTCAGTTTTGGTCGCCACAATATAAAAAAGATGTTGAGACTCTAGAAAGAGTGCAGAGAATAGCAACAAAGAAGATTAGGGGACTGGAGGCTAAAACATATGAAGAATGGTTGCAGGAACTGGGTATGTCTAGTTTAATGAAAAGAAGGACTAGGGGAGATATGATAGCAATGTTCCAATATCTCAAAGGCTGCCACAAAGAAGAGAGAGTCAAGCTATTCTCCAAAGCACCTGAGGGTAGGACAAGAAGCAAGGGTGGAAATTAATCAGGGAGAGAAGCAATTTAGAACTAAGGATAAATTTCCTGACAGTTAGAACAATTAATCAATGGAACAACTTGCCTCCAGAAGTTGTGAATGCCCCAACACTGGAAGTTTTTAAGATGATGTTGTATAACCATTTGTCTGAAGTGGTGTAGGGTTTCCTGCCTAAGCAGGGGGTTGGACTAGAACACCTCCAAGGTCCCTTCCAAGTCTGTTATTCTATTCTATGTAGAGGTTTAACATATAAAAGCTTGATCTGAATTTGTGCCATTGCCAGGTTGCCTTTCATTGGTGAGAAACACAATAGCATGTTTTAAAAATAACTTGTTTGTAAAAAAATAAATGTGTGTGCTATAATTATCAAAATGAAATGTTTTGTTTCCGTGTTAACCATTGAATACTAGACCAAAATATGATTGGTTTGTTGAGATTTAGTGAGTTCTGTGAAACTATCCAGTTTTGGGTTAGCCAACAAGTCATGGTTGAGCAAAATGTAGCTTAAAACATGTTGTCTGATTTAAAACTTAAATAATGAAGCCTGAAATATAGTGGTATTTTTTTCACATACTTTCTATAAGATTCTGTAGCAACAGTGCAACAGTGCAAATGGGGGATGTGTATAGTACATAGTGTGCAGTAAATTTTCAGTTAGCTTTAGAAGGATTACGTTTTCCTGTGACAGTGGTTTTCCTGATTAAGAAAAGGTTGACTTTCATGATGGAAGATTTTTTCTGGCAAAAAGATGGGAATGAGTTCATTTTTAATTGTAATTTTAATAGCAACATATGTATGAAAAGTAATAAAGATGATGAAAAATAGATTTCCAACAGGGTGTGGTTTTGTGGGTAGCATTAGACCTGAACAATTATGACGATAGTAACCTCAAGAGATGGAACAGCCTTTTGAATACAATAGAGTTACTTAAGTACCTATGAACCCCAAATTAGTTTCTGTATACTTCAACATCTGTTTGCTCCCATGTTTTATAAAAATTATCAGAGTTGGTCTAATAAGATAATTTCTTCCACCTCCACCCCAACTTTTAGGCAATTGTTTCCAAATGGGTTCCCAGAGGAATACTTCTTAACAGCCACATTCCGTGTCAGAAGAAACAGCAAAAGAGAACGCTGGTATTTACTGCAGATTTTAGATCAGCATAATTTGCCACAGGTTAGAACAAATTGAGTTATTTGGTATTGTTATTTCTTTATTTGTGTTTGTTCACTTGTTTCCTATTCCCATCTCCAATAAAATGATACCTACAACTTTATGAATTGCTAGATAGTCCCCCCCAGATTGTGCAACTATTGATGTGGCTTGGATACAACAGTAGTCATTTTTCAAATAGCAATTAGAGGATGATTTACATATGAGTAATGGAGTCGTGGGATGGTATGTATTGGGAAGTGGAACAACGTGCCTCCAAAAGTTGTGGATGCTCCAACACTGGAGGCTTTTAAGAAGAGATTAGACAAGCATTTGTCTGAAATGGTATAGGGTTTCCTGCCTGAGCAGGGAATTGGACTAAAACACCTCGCAAGGTCCCTTCCAACTCTGTTATTCTATTCTATTCTATGTTAACATTTTGTCTTTTAGTTTGAAGAATATTGAAACCTGTAGAATATAACAAATTAAAAAAAAACACAATAAAAATGAAAGGTTGGGGTTTGATGCTTAATAACAAGGTTGCATGGATAAATATGCAAGAGACAGATTCAGAAAGCTTAAACAAGTAAAAGATGCATCCAGATGTGTCAGGGAAAGTTTGGACTTTCACCAATTGATTTTTTTTTAAAGTTTTTAATAGTTTAGTACATCCCATTCCACCCCATTTCTTACTGGAGCCCTGGTGGTACAATGGTTAGAATGCAGTATTGTAGGCAAACTCTACCAACAGCCTGGAGTTCAATCCTGACAGGGCTCAAAATTGACTCAGTCTTCCATTCTTCTGAATTTGTTAAAATGAGGACCCAGATTGTTGGGGGCAATATGCTGATATTGTAAATCACACAGAGAGTGCTGTAAAGGACTATGGGGCATTATATAAATCTAAGTGCTATTGCTATGGCTACTGTAGAGTCCCCTGCTCTTCTAGGGAGCTTTTAGAGGGCTGAGCGGCTGCATCAGGAAGGAGGAGGAGGTGAGAAAGCTTCACTATCTGAGAGAATGTGACCTGTGATTTCAAACATTACGAGCATGTATTGACTTCTATGATTTTATTCTCTTCTTCACTGTCTTTCAGTTTATTTCATTTTGAAAGCACTGAAATTTGTGTGTGTATATATTTTTGTTTAGGTTTACATCTCAGTTGATGGTTTAAAAAAAGCTATAGAGTATGTCATGCAATCCACCCAGCGGAACTCCCTGCACTATGTCTTTAAAAGCCGCAAAATCTATCCTATCTTTGATCGTCAATGGCATAAGCTTGGCATCAGTGTACAATCAAGGAAGATTTCTCTTTATGTGGACTGCAGCTTAGTTGAACAAAGGATGACTGAAGAAAAAGCTAGTCCTGACATTCAAGGAAAGATTCTCATTGCTACTCATTATTTAGACGGTAAACCTGTAGATGTAAGTGTTTATGTCCATGTTTTAAGGAATTAAGTGGTTTTACGCTGCTTTAATGGAAAAGGAAGTTGTGGGTTTTATTGTTATGTTATTTTTGTTTATTGTTCTGAATTTTTAAATTGGTAAATGATAGGTAGGTAGGTAGAAGATAGATAGATAGATAGATAGATAGATAGATAGATAGATAGATAGATAGATGATAGACAGACAGACAGACAGATAGACAGATAGAGAATGAATGAATGAATGAATGAACGAATGAATGACATCAAATTGGTGAGCTGGAAAAACTTGAATTATTTCTGCTTATGAATTAAATCAGTTTTGTTGATGAGACACATTGCTGGAAAAGGAAGGGAAAATAATTATCTCTTATTTTTTACAAATAATATACATTTATATTAAAAAAATAAAATTTATTTATATTAAATATATAATTTAATATAATATATTAAAAAAATAATTTTATTATTAAAAAATATATAAATTTCTTATAATTTCCTGCTCCCTAAAACATTTTTCTAAAGCTTGGAACCCTTCAAAAATAATTGGAGACATTGAGACTGAAGGAGAGAAGTGAGAATAAACCAAAATTGCCTCATCTCTTCTTCAAGTAGAAGCTTCTCCAGAAAAAATAATTACCGGTACATCATTGAATGAAAGGAGCCTTGCATCTATAGAATATCATATCTGAATCCAGACATATCTATTTTATATATGTTTAGAAAGCAGACATTTTGCAATTTTGATGCCCTGAGATCCTTAGAAATGAAGTCTGAATCCTAAAAGCAGCAAATATTTCTAGAGTGTTATCTCTTCTGTGTTGCAGATATCAAATGCAACCTCAGGTTTAACTTAAAGTATTCTGAAAACTACTTATATAGTAGGAATTAAGTTACAGTAAAGAGGATACAGTGGCACATTTAAGGAAACACATCTGTTTTAATACACATTCTATAATGTACTAAAAGTAAAATAATTTTAGAAATTTTCTTTTTAATATAATTTTATTAAGAATTTTATTTACGGTAAAAACTAATGCAATCTAAACTTAGAGAAAGAGAAGGAAGAATAAAAAACACAGGAAAAAGGAAAAAGGAAAAAAGGAAATATATAAAGAAGTGGCTTTCAACCTTCATCACAAGTATAAACACATTTAATACATTTTCATCACCACTACCATAAGGTTAAACAGATAACTTTTTATTCCATATCTTGTTTATAAGCAAATACATAAAACAATCCTGATGTCAGCAGAAAACCATTAATTTTTCCAATCTTTTGTGATACCTTCTTCTTCTTCTTCTTCTTCTTCTTTTTTTTTTAACTTAGAGACCTTATTTTTATGTTTGTTTATTTTTATGTTGCATCTTATGTTTTAGAAAAGATCAAAAAGAACTTGACCAACTGTTTTTTTGTTACACTTTGATAACCTTGACAATTGTGGCTTGCCTCACACATCATGAGAATCTCCACCTTTGGAACACCTCAATCTACTCTCCATTTATCAGGGTCAGGTTTCCACATAGCCCAATTCCCTCTGCTTTCCAATTTGGAGAGTTTAGTTTAGTTCTGCAATTTCTCTGGAATGAAGTATATTGAATTATAAACTTGTCATTAGCTCCTAATTTTTCATAACCAATTTTGTTGTATACATGATATACAATGACAATAAAGGCTATACTATTACGGCTTCCAATGCAATCAAATAAAACATATTTTCTGGACTTTCCTCACAGGTAACAGTTCAATCCCTTAAAGTAATATATATGACATTTTGTCTGTCTCCTCAATTTAAAAGAGATTATCATATTGCCATCTCTACTTTATTTTTCTTATAGGAAAGATGTTTCTCTTTTTTTCAGCCTACTGAAAAAAAAAAGAACTTACATAGCTCTGTCTTCCAGCTTCCCTTCCATTTCTAGAATAAGGAAGATATTCTACTGTATTCTCCCTGAATTAAGATCAAAACCCTTTGGACCTATGGCTATTCCCCTACTTATCTTTTTTTATCTTAAAAAGTAGCTTTTAGTGGCCATGACTTCAATTAATCAGGCTGAACAACCATGTGTCTTATGAAAAGACTATCCATTTTTTTAGAGACAAAATGTTTTTATTGTCCAACTTCCTAATTTTCTTTTTTTACTTGAATTAGGATATAATATTTCTTACTTTTTGTCCTAATTCCTCAGCTGCATTGAAACATCTCTGCTTTTATTGGTTATCCATCATGTTCTTGCTTTTTATCTGGACCATATGGCATTCTTCTGAGACTTTGTTTTTTCCAAGGTCATTCTAAAGGCCATGGTTTTCTATTCAGCACTTCTCCAGATGGATCATCTGCTGCAATCTAACCAAACAGCTGTGCCTTTTTCCAATCTGTGATCACTCCAAAAGAATCAACAGCTTTCCTCCAGAGTATTCTACTGCTGGAGCAATGTTAAGCAGTTACATGGGTAAACCCCTTTGGTTTAATTCAGCATCAAAGCCTGAATATTTTTTCCCAGAAGGATGTGGCCTTTGGAAGAATATGGCACCTTTTTAATCAATTTATGATGACTAGAACCTTGTTCAACAAGGGTAATATTGAATTCATAAACTTTGAACAAAATGGCATCTAATATTAAAACATCATATATAATGGAACCTCTATTCCATTATATATATTATTATTTCAGTTAATTTATAAAGCAATGTTATCAAACAAAAACTGTCCAAAATAAATGTGAAATAATCCTACTGATAGTTTTACAACATAATATATATGACATATAAAGAAAAATGTTACGAGAAAGCTGGGAAAGATTTAATTGATGTGGTCTGAAGTTTTTAACGTGACTGTAAGATAGATAAAAGTGCTTTCCATATAAATTGTTAGTTATGTTTAAGGAAATTGTGTTTTCTTCACAAGAAAATAGATATGAGCAAATAGCTACAGCACTTCAATTGTTTCATGTATGATAAGTGATTTAATATTTTTCTTTTTATAACTTGATAACCAACTTATGAACCTTTCCAATATTGTCCATTCAGTTAATTTTCACAGTAGGAGTACAAAGAAGAAAAATATAGCATGTTCCTATTTATTTATCCTTTCCTCATTTTTTATCATTGTACCCTTCTTGCCCATTGCCTCTGGTTTTTGTCACATTTCCTTCATTTCTTAATCCTTTTCTTTTTTTCCAAAGGTCATCATAGACTCTTCCATCTGGTTTCTTTTTTCCAGAGATTAAATAAATGTCTCACAGAACAGTTAGCGTACAAAGAGTCTGCTACAGCATGCACATAGTATATAGGGTATAGTATGTATGGAAAAAACCTCTCTTGGAAAAAGTACTTTATTTCTTAGAAGGAAAGCAATTTAAAAATATTATCTTTCCCCCGCATCCCCCAGGTCAGTTTTAGGTATAGAATGTTCAAGCTTTCTTGTATTGTGCAGATAGTTCTGTATAAAGCCTAGACTAGTGATGGCTAACCTTTTCCAGACTGAGTGCCCAAAGTGTACACATACACGTGTGCACCCCCAAAATGCAATGCACCCCCGTTCATGCCCCCACCCCTGCCCATACCCCCCACACGCACCCCACATTCCCACGCATGCACGTGTGACCCCCTGCATACATCCTGCATACACCCTGCCTCCCTGCGCATGCACGCACATCCCTATGCGCCCCCATATGTGCGGCAGAAACCTGAAGGCCAGCTGGCTGGCAGGAGGTGCGCATGCATGTGCAGCAGAACTGAATGGGGCAACGGCTTGCATGCCTTCAGAGAGGGGGCTGTGTGCCACCTCTGGCACATGTGCCATAGGTTCACCATCACAGGCCTAGACTAAAATATATTCAAATTAATATATTATTAAGAGCATGTTAGGTATTTTCTTTTTTCAGTTTTCCGATTTAAAACAGTGCTTCTATTAAATGGGTAGATAGATGGATGAATGGATGGACGGACAGACAGACAGACAGACAGACAGATTACAAACTGTAGGTAGGAAAAGACAAATAGAGCAGCCTGGTTTAGTGACATGTAAAAAAAAAAATCTAGGAGACTAGTGGATTAGTAGACGAACACAGGAAAGTAACTAAAAAATCTTAGGCTTCTTTAATAAAAACAAGACTGTACATCTAGATCACAGGATTTCATTGTGTTCTGTGGTGGCTTATCCACACCTGGCATATTGTGTCCAGTACTGGTCACTGCACTTTGAAAGGAACATGGAGAGGCCAGAAGAGAAATAGAGGAGAACCCAAAGGTTCTTTTTCAAGAGACAACTGGATTTTCTTGTTTTTCTTTCAAGATGTTTCGGTTCTCATCCAAGAAACTTCTTCAGCTCTTGGATGAGAAGCGAAATGTCTTCAAAGAAAAACAAGAAAGCCCAGTTGCCTCTTGAGAAAGCACCTTTGGGACAACTATGACCTGGATGACTGAGAATCTCCATAGACAAATAGAAGAAAACCACAACAATAATAAAGGGTCTTTGAAAGGTACATTGAAAGAGATGAGTATGTTTGCTTTCAAAAGAGAGGACTAAGGGTAAAGATGTAACACCAATTTACACTTATCCAAAGGGCTGACTCATACAAAAGAAAGCAGCCTTATTTAAATAGTGAAACCAAAGGCAGAACAAGGACCAGATAGATGAAATTAAAGGAGGAATATCAGTCTAAATATTGAGAGAAATTTCCTTATGGTAAGACCATAGTTAGAATAGTGGTGTTCTATTCTAGTTAGAATAATAGTGCACTATGTTTGGAGGTTCTAGCAGGGGAGTGCAGCTATCGTATACCCTTGACCGAAGATCGGTACACTCCTTCTATCTGGGGTGGTCGTCCTCTTCCACCGAGCGTGCAGCTTCGGGAGGGACGCACATGGAGCGGTGAGGGAGGAAGGGGACACCCGCCTAGCAGTATGGGAAAGGTGGTATAAATGGTGGAATAATAGAACAAGACTATAAGGATATGCTTATTTCTAATAATGATAGATTTGAAGATACTTGTTGTGTATATACTGTATATATGTAATTACACGATACCTCAGATGTTACCTGAGATTTGATATTTTCTTTTTAAAAAAAAACTTTTTTAAAAAACCAATAAAGTATATTTTAAAAAAAAAACAATAACAGTGCTATGTAGCCCATTGTGGTGGTCTATGAGATGGCATCATTGAAAGGAAAATTAAATCAATTCAGCCAACCAGAGTCATGGAGTGAATGGGAGGATTCTACAAATCTATATAGTAAACCAGACTTGCATTGCTAAATTACAAACAAAACCAATTGGAAGAAGGGGTGTAAAGAGAGCTTAACAGAGAGTGTTTTTTTCAAAGATTTTTTAGGTTTCAAAGAAAATAGATATTTTAAAATAAACTGGTAACTCTGTGGCACTATTCAGTTAATTCTGGGGATGTATGTGGAAAGAGAGAGGGAGAAAGGGCCTGAGATTTGTCTAAGTCCCCAATTTAACAAATAGAGTTTTACGAAAGTTCCAAGAATATTGTCCCTTGCTATTGTCCTGCTTCCTGCAGTGCTTCTATAGTTGTAGCTCAATGATTTCAACTGGTCTTCTGTCAAAAGCTGCAAGACCAGTTGCTGTATTTCCTAGGTGGGACTATTCACGGCAAGAAAGCAATAAGCAATAGTGCTATCTCATGAGGCCACACTATTTGGCTTCAGTGACATTGCCTCAACCACCAAAAGCAGGGTTGTGACTCAAGTTTTAATTTATTATTCCTAGGATTATTTATAGTGATAAATTAATAACATAGCTAGTAGAATTTGTATAAAACTCTAGTTTTATTGACTTTAAGTAGAGTAGTTTGGAGAGAGGTAATTTCCATCTGTAAAAATAAAGCCTTCAAATGACCAGAGAGCTGACCAAAGGAATGCATCAAACTGCAGTAACTGTTGTCATAAATCCAGCTCCTTTTATAAAGAGATATACAGAAGTGCTATGTTGGGTTCAAATTAGAGTTGGTATGATTTGATTAGAATCTGTGTGTTGCTCAGATAACTAACATGATAAATGCAAATAGAGTATTTTAAAATGTCTTTGTTTTTTCAAAGTTCATGGCCAAAATCCCAAACTCTGCTAGAGATATTTAAATGCATCATTTCAGTGGGGTCAAATTATTTAACAATGTGATGGATTTCCGCTACAGAGGCTTCAGTGTTGTTACATCTCAACTGATAAGTATCATCATGTTTATTAAATAGATTGAACTTGGCCGCATGATCTTACACTGCGATCCAAGCCTTGCTTCTCAGGAGAACTGTTGTGAATTATCTGAGCATGTGGTAAGTTTGGAAAATAAAAATGTATTATTTTTGTAACAAAATGTAACAAAATTGCATGGCATTATTAGTATGGCCTATCATTTGAAGAAAGCAAGTTTGGTGAATTTAAGGCATCATGATAGAAACTGGAAAACCTAATCCCGTTTTCAGCTAGTGACCTTGGTTTAATTACTTTCTCTCAGCCCTAGGAAGGAGCAACGGCAAATCACGTCTGAAAAATCTTGCCAAAAAGACTGCAGGGACTTCTCAGGGTAGTTTCTGAAAAACGGGGATGATTGAACAAGAGAGGGGGAAAATATCATTTGAAGGATTTTTTTTTCTTTATTTTGATGAGGCAATCTTTATTCATTAAAAAAAAAAAATCTATGTTCTACCCAGACCTTTAATGTTCTGGGAACTTGTGCACAGTGAAACATCTATTTAAAAAATAAATACATTAGACATAAAAATACAAGCAAAAAGAAATGTATTTTAAAAATCTTGAGGAATAATAATGGCACTTCTTCCTAAACTTTAGTAAAAAAATCTTGAAATTTATCTACCATTCAAATAATAAGAATAACAGGTTCAAATCACTGTAACAGAAGAACATCAGTGTCACTGGAGCTGCTGTTGTTTCAGAGGCTTTATCAGTACAGTATATGTTCTAAGCATTTTGCTTGTAGCATAGTGCACTCTACCTATGGATTAAGTAAATATAAACTAACACCTATTTAAAATAATAATAACAGCATTTACTGTAATTCCATTACATTATGATTGCCAGATTTTCAATTCAGATTGCTGAACTTGTCAACACAAGTTTTTTTTTTAAAAAAATTAACCATGGAAATGTAGTCTCTGAAGATGCAGAAGATGCTATAGATAGTATAATTTAATCTTAATGAATTAAACTTCAGTCCAATATGTATTCATACTTTCAGCATCCTTTGGATAAAAGCTTGAAAACTACAGCAGCATCACCATCAGTTGGTAACATTGGTAAAATACAAGCTCTTCCAATAATGGAAAAAAATCCTGAAGAAAAATGTTTTTGCTCTCAGAACAAGGTATAATCCTCTTTTATTATAATCTTTATATATAAAGATATAAGAATCTATATTCTTAAATGTATAGTTCTTTGAGCAGATTTAACCTTTTATTTGGACTTTTGTACTGTTGTTCTTTTTTATACGCTACTGAATATTAAAGAAAGCTGCACAGCATTTTGTTTTATTACAGCCTTATATCATCTACAGTAGATGTGTCAGGCCACAATTCTTATAATCTGAAGTCTTCATGATCAATGGCCATGTTGTCTAGAAATTATAATTATAATTTGATATGGTTAGAGAAAAGCTTTTCTAGAAATTGATTTCTGCATATGAGAGGCAAGAGGAGAACGAGGGGTAATATGATAGCAATCTTGAGGGGCTGTCACAAAGAAGAGGGGGACAACCTATTCTCCAGAGTACCTGAGGGCAGGGCAAGAAGCAACAGATGAAAATTTATCAAGGAGAGATTCAACCTAGAACTAAGAAGAAATTTCCTGGCAGGGAGAACTATTAATCAGTGGAATGGCTTACCTTCAGAAGTTGTGGGTGCTCCAACAACAATTTAAGAAAAAATTGGACAGCCATTTGTCCGAAATGATCTAGGGTCTCCTGCTTGAACAGAGGGTTTGACTAGAAGACCTCCAAGATCCCTTCCAACTCTGTTATTCTGTTATAGAGGCATAATATTGCAAAGAGAATGAAAGTGTGAGTTAAAATAGTACAAGGTTATCTGAAGTCTGTATTTTCTGTGAATTTTTTTATTACAAAAACTCATAGATTTTACTTTTGACAAGGATGACACCAACTAGGAAGTTAACAGTTTACAAATCTACTATAATAAAGGATGATAACAGTCATTTCAAATTGATTGGAAAAATATTTCTGCAAGTTATGTTGCAATGATGAAATATCCAAACAGCATGAATGATTGTTTATAGAAATGTTAATTTATGAACCCATTCTTCAAAACATTAGCAGGGCCATCCGTAACTTGAGCTAGTGGCTAAGTATCCTGACCAACATGGAAGAATATGGGTCATTTAATAGCCCAGGTCAATTGTTGCAACCTCTACATTAAAATAATGAACAAAACAATATGAGGACACTGGACAGCAGCATTTCCCATAAACATTTCAAGTACATTAGAAGCAGGGAGCAAGGACAGGTCTGTATATCAGTGTGATAGCAGTCACTTGCGAATCAATAACAAATGCATTGCACAGAAATCGCATCTGTCCTTACTAGAAGAGTATCATTTAAGCTCTTGAACCATGCAATTTTCATAAAGCATTGTCAATTAAAATAATGATATTTACAAATAATTTTCACAAATATAGAAGACATAAAGCTGCAGTAGATATTTTGCACTAGAATATATCTTATTTTCATTCTTTCTGTCTCATTAAAGTATTCTTATGTCAGAATATATATCTGTTAGCCTGGCAATTTTAAAATAAAAAAAAATAGTGGAAAAGTTGAATTCATAACATTGGGTATATTTGTACATATGTATGGTTGTGTGCACCAAGGATGACAATAATCAGCTCAGTTTGCTGAAGTATAATCTCTATCAGTCCACACAATTGTAGCTACAAATGAAGGATAGCGCAATTGTAATTCAGCAGCATTTGCAGAGCCACTTATTCCTGACTCCAGGGAGATAAAGGTATAAGACTGTTTCTCCCTGCATTAGGGAAAATGGTTTTTCTAATATCATCCAATATTATTCCAATCAGAAACATCAGCTTAGAACTCTTGAACACTTTGAGCAACAAGTGCAAAGTCAGAATAGGGTTTGTTGTAGCAGTTGTAGGTATCACTCAAAGTACTTCCCTTTTCTATCAGTAATACTACCATTAGATGGAGCTCTGGCATATTATACAATTACACTTTATGCTTACTCTGTAAGGTCATTACTTATAGGGCATTGTTTACTTCCCCCCCCCCACCCCAAACATAGGATTCTAGAATAAATACCCTAGCTTTATTCTCAACAGGGAGAAGCAGGATTGCCAGGCGTAGCTGGTTTGCCAGGCCAGAAGGGAGAAAAGGTAAGATTTTACCGGCAACATTTCTACTGTCTTTTTGTTTGGGCAGTTGGTTTTTCAGAAACTGGAAAAATATTACATGTCCATGTTTGTTAAGAAGAGAACTTTTTTTGGTATAATGTCCCAATGGAGATAAATTCTGTCCAGACAGATTTGCTTGCCACTGACCTTAATATTATTTAAGTAACTCTTTTTAAGCAAAACGAGTTTTTTTAATTAGGTTTTTTGTTTGTTTGTCTTTGTTTTTAGCAATTTCAGTTTACAGGCAAGAATCCTCTAAGAATGTTGTTTGGTTTGAAGCTGGGTGTGATTTTTCTTTTTTAACCACATGGTTTCTGGCTTTGATTTTTTTTTTTATGCCTTCAAAATGAGATACATAGGAATGTAGCGTGTATGTGTATTTAAATAAAAACATTCTAATTTAACTTTCAATGCAGTGTTATTTAACTGACTGGCAAGTGTAATTTTTTCAGTTTGTAGTAAGCAGATGTCCATTCTGTTAGAATCTTAGGCATATTTTAATTTGTTATTAACAGTTGGGACATAAATAATAGCAAGTGAAACAACAACAGAAGGTAGAATTTTTCAACAGCAACTTTCCCTGCCAAATCCTCTCTATTCAATCAGACCTTCATATTTTTTTTCCATTTTCTCTATTCCAAAATTCAAAATTCTCTGTGCCCACTCAGCTTTCTTTAGAGTGTTCATTTCCCACCCTTAGTATATGATGTTCCTATAATTTGTTACAGACTGATTCTTTTGGATTCTGGTTATTAAGTTCTTGAATTAAAGTTATCAATAAATGATATTAACCGATAGCGTTCATTTAATAGTGGTCAGTGGGACTGGAAACTCTGTTGCTAAACTATACGGTTGAAAAACGTCACATGACCACTGATGACAGCAGTTCAAGCAATTCCAGTAGCTTTTGTTATCCCATATGGTCATTGGGCATGTGAGCGTCATTTGTTAGTTCCTGATGGTTTCCCCATTGACTTTGCTTGTAGGAAGCCAGCAGTGAAATAGCAAATGACAATCACGTGACTGTGGGATGCTGCAACAGCTATAATTACAAGGACCCTGGTTCAATGCTGCTGTAACTTCAAACAGTCACTGAATAAGGACCACCTGTAATTTTTAATAGATACTTCAGTTGGTTTGTTTCAGAGTTTGTTAATTAAAGGATGAAAAGAAGTGATTACCTAAACTCAGCCAGCTGACTTTCATGCCAAAGGGAGGACTAGAACTTAGGTTCCTAATGCAACACTTTAACTACTAAACCATACAAGCTCTCTGGAATATATTTACTTTCACTCCCTGAATATATTTTAAGTATCTTTGTGATATTTTTCTGAGAATGCTAATACAGGTAGCCCTCTACTTATGACCACAACTGAGCTCAAATTTTTGTTGTTAAGTTAATTTTGCCCCATTTCCACAGTTGTTTAATGAATCATTGCGGTTGTTAACTTAGTAACATGATTGTTAAATGTATCTGACTTCTCCATTGGTTTTGCTTGTCAGCAAGTTGCAAAAACATGATTCTGGGAAACTGCAACTGTTATAAATATGAATCAGTTGTCAAGAGTCTGAATTTTGATCATGTGACTGTGGGGATGCTGCAACAGTCATAAATGTGAAAAACAGTCATAAGTCATAAGTTTTGTTGTAACTTCAAATGGTCATTAAACAAACTGTTGTAAGTCAAGGGCTACTTCTAGTTGACTCTTACTTTATATTGTTCCATTTTGGCTATGCCATCATAATTCAGAATCTGTTATCTCATGTTTGAATTTAATTCTAAATAATTGTCAGGTTCATGTTCTATAAAGTTTTTAAAAATTGCTAAGTACTATTCGGCTAAAAACAAAACAACCACTGATTCTAAAACCACAATTTTAAAAAATCAGTTGAATGGAAGTATGTTATTTGCATGTAGTGCCAGTTGAGCTCAGATACATTAATCTGTGGTAATTACTTATACAGTATATCTCCCACCCTGCAAAAATATATTTATTTTAATATATTTGCATAAAGTCTACATATATTTGCATAGTCTATTAGTATAGCTCTTGCTCGCTCGCTCGCTGTCTCCACACTCAAGCAGAACTATATATGAGTTAAGAAAAAAGGCAATACCTCTCCTCATAACAAAAGCCACAGTATCATGTTTAGATGTTATCCCAATGCTCCTTATTGAAGACCACTTCAAAAGCCTACTCTCCATTCTTACAATTCCTAGTTTGAAACTGCCAAAGTGTTTGGACAGAACAACCCTCCAAAAAAAAAGAGTTCCCTAACATACCTCATGGAGGACTGTCAACGGGCAATTTCCAATCCTCATTGACTTTGATTAACGTTTTGCTATTTCTGAAAGCTTTCAAATATTTGGCATTCCCTTCTCAGGTACAAAACAAGTCGCCCTATTTCTGCATAAACCTTGGCCTTTTTACTTCTTGGTAGTATTATTTTAACACTTTTTAATTGGCCAACAACATATCTGTGAAGGATGTTGCAGTACAAATAGTATTCCAATTTTTTAAAGTTTGAAATCATATTTAAATAACCAAACATTTTTCTATAATATCACCTAGAACAACCTTTAAGTACTGTATGGCAATTAAGCCGTGGAGTCGGTCAATGCTATGAAAATTCTTTAACTGTAATTCAATTAAAATGAATTAATTTTTAAAAAACCAATAAAATAAATAAGAAAAAAATCTACAAAATGAGTAATAATAGTTGGAGTTTAAATTAACATTTTATTTGTTTTTATTTATTTACATATCAAACTTAAGAACCACCCATCTCCCTCACAAACCACCCATCTTCCTCACAAAGAATACTTTGACAATCAAAACAATTGGTGGTCATGAATTACAGTCTATCAGTAGGAAAACACGTGTTTTCAAAACCTTTTCATTCTTATTTTTATTTCCTACTGATATCAATGTCTGCCTTGTTGCTTGTTTGATATCTGATAAACCAATGCTTAGGCTGCCAATACAACTAAGAATATTGGGTTCTTCCCCCCCCCCAATCACTCCATTAAATATGAACATATTTTTGTGGCTTTCATTTAAAAAAAATATTGAACTATTGACACAATTATATGCAACTTCAATACTAGGGAAGATTCTGGAAAAGATAATGAAGCAACGAATCCAGGGGTGGCTTTCAGCTGGTTCTGACTGGTTCTTGCGAACCGGTAGTGGAAATTTTGAGTAGTTTGGAGAACCGGTAAATACCACCTCTGCTTGGCCCTGCCCCCAATCTATTCGCTGCCTCCCAGTCTCTCAGCTGGTCGGCTAGAAGGAAAAAATCAGGGTTCGCTTTTCAATAGGTAGATCACTTGATAAAGAAGAGGGGAAAAAACAAGATACCATCGCTTTAAATTGACAAGAAGCAGCTGCTGGAAGGAGGTTTTTACTTGCAGAAGTGAAGTCACATTCAGCAGTTCGTTTCTGGGTCAGCTGAACAACAAACTAGATAAGAGGAGGGATTTTTATATGGTTCTATGTTTTTGAAGTTTTGGGGTTTGACCAACATGGGCTTTGTGTTTCTAAAAAGGTTTGGGCAATTTCCATTGTGAAATATCCTGTCTTGAATGAGCTTTCTGCCTGCTTGTAAAGTGGAACTTCCAGCCTCCACTTTCTATTATCTCTAAGCACCGGTAGCTGTTTTCTTCTTACAAAGTTTCCTTTATGCAGCTGGCAAGAATATGGAATGAGCCTCAGGCAGGTTCCTTTGTTAGTAGCTTGATTTTTCCTTGCTTTTCTGGGAGCCTTTTCTTATGAGTAATATTTTATTTGGGAAAATGAAGAGGGGGGAGTTTGATTCCTTCCCAGAGCAGGTTAGTGGGGTGGGGAGGGAATGGGGATCTTGCAGTATCTTTCCCCTGTCACGCCCACCAAGCCACACCTACCAAGCCATGCCATGCCCACCAAGCCACACCCACAGAACCGGTAGTAAAACAATTTGAAACCCACCACAGAACGAATCAGTGAACACCAAGAAGAAAACAAAGTAATAACCAAAAGCCAACATGGGTTTGTCAAAAACAGATCATGCCAGACTAATCTTATTGCATTCTTTGACAAAGTGACAAAACTAGTGGACCGGAGGAATGCTGTCAGTATAATTTACTTGGACTTCAGTAAGGCATTTGATAAAATAGACCATAACCTACTACTAGATAAAGTAGAAAAATGTGGGTTAGACAGCATCACCACCAGATGGATTCATAACTGGCTGACCAACCACACTCAACATGTAGTCCTCAATGGAACTGCAGCTACGTGGGGGGAGGTATGCAGTGGGATACCCCAGGGCTCATATTATGCTCAGTACTCTTCAACATATTCATCAATGATTTGGATGAGGAGATAGATTGGGAACTCATCAAATTTGCAGATGACACCAAGCTAGCAGAAATAGCCAACACTCTGGAAATAGGCTTAAGATACAGAAGAATCTTGACAGACTTGAAAATTATGCACTATCTAACAAAATGAAATTCAACAGTGAAAAAAGTAAGGTTCTACATTTAGGCAAGAAAACAAAATGCACAGGTACAGTATATATGGTACCTTGCCAAATAGTAATAACTGTGAGAGGGATCTTGGAGTCCTAGTGGACAGCCATTTAAATATGATCCAGCAGTGTGCAGCAGCTGACAAAAAAGCCAACACAGTTCTTGGCTGCATAAACAGAGGGATAGAATCAAAATCACGTGAAGTGTTAATACTACTTTATAATGCCTTGGTAAAGCCACACTTGGAATACTGCATCCAATTTTGGTCACCACGATGTAAAAAAGATGTTGAGACTCTAGAAAGTGTGCAGAGAAGAGCAACAAAGATGATTAGGGGACTCGAGGATAAAACATATGAAGAACGGTTGCTGGAACTAGGTATGTCTAATCTTATGAAAAGAAGAACTAAGGATGACAATACTGGAAGTTTTAAAGAAGATATTAGATAACCATTTGTCTGAAGTGGTGT